TTCATTTGGAAAAAAAGCATAAATGTATTTATATGTATATTTGATTCTTGTGAATTGCTTCTGTATCCATTGTTTTAGAATTATAAAACTGCTGTTACTAAAGGAGAAGCCACAACCCCAAAGGGAAGGGATAAAGAGACACAGTACATATTACAAGTGCTTACAGGAGACAATGATATGTGCCAATCTGTTTTGAAACACACATCTAAGTAAAAACAGAAAAACTTGGGCAGTTGGGAAATTAAGTCACTTGCTGATGTATGAGTTAAAGGCACAAATACTTCTACCTAAACATTTAAAAAAATGTTCTAAGTCTAAAGAGGTCTTCAGAAGGGCCATTGTATGTTTTCCAATACTTAGGAAATTAAGCAGATCAAAGACTAAATTACTTCTCTGAAGAAAAGCTATTTATAAATTTCCTTTGGGGTTGGCTAACTTTGTATTATTACAGCCAAAATGCTGCATGAATGCAGCTTGTGGGAGGAAAGACTTCCTTTACCTCACAGACATAGAGGGAGTCCAAGCCCATCAATGGTGAAAAGGCATGATGAAGCAGTTGAGTTCACATCAGGGTGGGACAGGAGGCAGAAACAGCAATAGGAAGTGGTTAAAGATAATACATTCTTCAAGAACCCACCTGCCTCATTTAGTCTCTTAACAAGGTGCCATCATTTGGGGAATAGGCATTCAGAAGATTAGACACCAGATTCAAATCATAAAACCCTTACAACTATTTTTAAAGAATTTGTTTATGAGTCTGTGTTATAGAATATTTTGTACACGGTATGTAGATATGTTGCTGTGATTGGTGTAATAAGAAGTTGAACAGCCAATAGCTAGGCAGGAGAGATAGGTGGTATTTCTAGGAAGAGAGAAGAAGAAGAGATAATCAAGATGCATAAGAGATGCCGGGAGATAAGGAGCAAGTTGGACTTACAGAAATGGGGAAGGGCTAAAATGCCACGTGATAGAAGCAGATTAATTTGAGTTACAAGAGCTAGTTGGGGACAAGCCTAAACTAAAGGTCAAACTTCCGTAATTAATAAAAAGTCTCCATGTCCTTACTTGTGAGCTGGCGGCCAACACAAAAGCTTGCTCCAGGTTGGGAGAAGAGTTTTAAGGAACAGTCATCACTGAAAATTTCAATACTTCTACAGTAGCAAACAATTTCTGCCTTAGTTATTTGATTTTTTTTTTACAAAAATGAAACAAACAAGAATCCAATAATGAGACAGTATTTTTTCCTTGAAGCCCTTTCCACTCTAGAGAATACCTTTCCTCATTGCGACGGTAGTGATGATGATAATGATGACAGAACTTGGCTTCATCAATTATTTCTCAAAAGGAATTGGAAGGCCTCTTAGTAAAGGACAGTAATATTGAACGTTACATTCTAAATAAAAATGTTTTCAGCCTTTTCAATTATTGTGCAACATAAATCCACCAACAGAGTAAGTTCTAAACAACAGATTCTGGTGTCCAAATAATTCCCATTTAGGCTTTGAATCTTTAAAAAAAAAGTCATTAATAATTGTGTAGAAAAGTTCTGGAGAGGGCTGCACACACGTAGACAAAAATGGCAGAACACTTGACTGCACAGGGGACGGCAATTAAGCTTGCTACCCAGTATCCCACACTTGAATACTGGATGATATGAATACTGAATCTATGTCCTCAACAAGCTAGTTATCCCCAAGGTTGCCAGATTGACAGTCAGAAATATGTATTTGAAAAACACACTCAATATCGTTACTAAGATGTCCTTCCCTGCTTTTCACACACCAGCTACAGAGACTTAACCATCAGTAACCAGTCTGTCCTTCCAAAGCCCAGACAAATCTCACTTTCCAATAAAGGACATCTCATTAACAAATGTGATTAGCAACATTGATGTGAATGACCAAACAAATCTCATTGGGTCAAGTAGTCAGGTTACAGTTTCCAAGTATCTCCATGGCCAGCCAATGTAAGCTCTAGCATGACACTGAGGTTCACAGCAAAATATTTGGCAAAATTTTGAAAAGAAAAGAGGCTGTTCCTCAACTTCCATTGCCTCAAAATACATGGGAGGTACAGTCTTAGGACTCTTTAAATAAAATGAAGAATACCATCAAAAAGCTGAACTCAAGGTAAAATAGAAAGAAAGAGGAAGAGCAGAAGGTAAGATCTGATAAATGAGGTTCACAAACACATACAAGGTTCAATATAAGAAATGAAAGATGAAAGTATGAAATTAAGAACTAAAACCACAGGATATTTTAAACATTTCTAATCGGTTACATGTGCTCAGGCCTCCTCCAGGAGTTCTAAAGTTGTTAGGAAAAAGAGAGAAGTGGCTCAACCTCTGGTTGAATGACTGCTCCAGCTGTCCCTGAATGATCACAGAGGCGCATTCCCCCATCTCCTCTGCAGGGCCAGTGGGGAACCATTAATGCATGACTGCTGGGCTTCCCTGGTGACCTGAATGAAGTAATGCAGCCTCCAAAAGGGGCTTAACCAGCAGTCCCTGTAAGCTCCAGCTCTAAAAGTGATAAATATTCGATTAGTCAATCCTGTTCAATACACCAAGCACAGAAACATGCCAATCAAAGGAAGTTGCTGAAAGCAAAAGAATTCAATTGTGACAAGAAATACTCAGGTGACCACTTAACACCCCCCCCCCCATAATAGATCATGGGTCCTTTCAGCATGTGGCATTCACTTATCCAGGCCCGCTGGTCAGTTCCCACTTTTCCCGCTTAGACTTTTAGAAAATCTGCAGGTTTAGAGACCTGAAAATGCTACCCAACATGATGATATTGAAGACAAAGTGGAGAAGTTTATCAGGCATCAGCCTCTCTACTTTTCTTCCCTGCTTTTGCTGTCTTCAAATATAAAGAAGGTTTGTTTATTGATAGGATCTCTACAAGTACACTGGCCCTGGGCTGAAAAGACAGAGTGACAACTCAAGACCAGGATCTCCCTTTCTGTGAGGACCTGAAAAACCTCCAAATCTTGGTCTCCATATACACTTGAATGTGAATAATCACACAGAATTACTTAGAAGAGTGATGAGACAATGGACATGTAGCATTTAACTGACAGTTTTGGTCAGTACATGTTCTTTCTTCAAAAAGCAGTGCTATTGTAAAACGCAAAAAATAGAACAATAAAGACTCAATATGGCTTCATTGCCAATAGACCATCTGGAACAAGGAGAAGGGATATTTTTGGAAAGAGACTCCCCAATATACACCATCAATCACAGAGAGACAGCCAACTGCCAACTCCACCATTAAATGAAGATTTCTTGTGACAGAATACATAGTCGCAAATGAAAAAAAAATCAATATTACAAAATTTTAAAAGGTTTTTTCTCCAAAACTGGTGTCATCATAGAGTTGGGTCTGTCTTTTCACAGTCATCCTTGCTTGTCATTAATTTTTTCATCAAATATCCAGGAATCTAATACTTCATCCCTATACTTCCTCTGTATTTTCTTAAAAATTGCATGAGGGAGGGCTGAACAAACTGCTCAGTCTCTAAAATTCCTGTTGCACAAACTTAAGGACCTATATTTCAGTACCTCACATCCACATACAGAGCCTAGCATGATGGTGTGCGCCTGTAACCCCAGCACTGGAGAATGGTGAGGGGTTGAGCCAGGAGAATCCATGAAGTTCATTACCAGTCAGCTTAGCTGAATCCATGAACTTCAGGTTCAGTGAGAGACCCTATTTCCACAAATAAGAGTTGAGAGCAACAGGGTCAGACACCTGATGTATACCTCTGGCCTCTATCAATGTATGTGTGGATGTGTTAGTACAGATGTTTTACCCACATGCCTTGTCCACTAAGAAGTACATACATCAGACGCAAATGTAACCCCAATACTTTGTCCTTTTCAAAGACGAGAGGCCAATAGATATTCTATGCTATCAAATATTTCCATTGATAGGCTTTAGGTGAATCTATTGCCACATGCTTTTCTATGCACATTGTACATATAAACAGTATATAAAATATATTATATATGCTACAAACCTAGTTTTCCTTATCCCTAGACATTACAGGATTTGTTTCTTTTCATCTCCTTCCCCACAAGAGGATCTTACCATGGACCAGGCTGGGCTTAAACTCATAACCTTCCCACCTCAGTCCCACAGGTCCTAGCATTATAAGTGTGTGTCACCATGACTCACAAAACATCAGAATATTAATTAAATATTATTTAGTCAAATGAAACAAAATACTGCTGTGTATAACTCATCTGTCCTGATAACTATGAACAAGTCAACAGGATGATGAACGTTCAGGCAGAACTCTCACTGACTGCTGTGTAAACGGTATTTGCATGTTTTCCAGGGTTCATAGTAAAGCATCATTCTGATTCTGCAGAAGGGTTGATTCAGGCTATAACTGGACATTCTTCCTGTTTTTTCTTCATTTTTTTAAACAACACATAGCAACAGCATGCTGTATTTGAAAAATAACTATGAACGTGTCAACCAAGGAAAACTCCTTTTGCATTAAAAATTTTAACTTAATTCTCATCTTAAATAGATGAAAAAAAAATGTTATGCAATAAGAGTCTGTAAGAAACACAAACAGAATTATAGTGGACAATTTAAGATAGCCGGCACGTTCAGACTCTGGACTAAGCATGGTTAAAAACAGTAGGAAACGTGTAATTTTTATGAATGTCCCTGAGTCCAAATTTAACTTACAATTGTAAAGAGCAGTGTTTGAAAACACAGGCTCAGAAAACTCCGTGTCTGCGCAACACTCAGGAAGCCGGCTCGTCATTCACCACATTAATGGACACACTCCCCCATGCAGTTCTATTCAAAGTCTGACACACAGTAAGTGCTCAATAAACGCTTCCCTAATTATTGGAGACAAGAAGCAGCATATCATCTAGGTACTCTGCAGATGAAGCTACGACCCTGTGTCGGCAACAATCGATACACCTAGGTTATGGAGTCTGTGAAAACACGCCTAATGGTGAGGTGTTGCTATACCTCCATGGTCCTGATTGGCTTTTTAAATAAATCATATCCTCTCAAGCTCCCCTGAAAGCCACTGACAGTGCGAGGAGAAACCGCCTCTAATGCACGGATTTGTCTGACTAGCAAATACATCTCCACATCTTGTGTGAGTTCCCCTTCAGCATAGGCGCAGACTCAAAGCAAACTTGGTAAAGCATCTGCAGTAGGGCTTGGGATGGCCAGATGTTCTGGAAGCAGAACTGTGGTCATTATGCACATGCCAGCTCCTCCTCACTCCACCCCAGGCCAAGACCCTTTCAGCAGTCTGAGGCCTGCCTAACATATGACTGTGGCTGCACTGCTGTGAGCCAGCCCGCGCCCTTTGAGCACTACAACAACTGCAGACCAGCTCCTTGGAAAAGGGACAGAAACAGGAAGCCAAGGAAATCTGCGTGAGAGTGCAGGATAATGGGACAACACTTTTGTTTGGTTTACCTAGGCAAAGTTAGGACAGGTCATGAATAAGCCATTGGATGTTTTGGAATAAAATGTACCAACATTCCAGGTTAGAATGAGGACAGAAGACAGAAATGAGTGAATCACCAAGTGCAAATGGGCGTGTTCCTGGGGCCTGGCACTAAGGGTAGGGCCGAGCTGCTGGCCTGGCTGGGTTTCTGAGGGGGGTTTGTAAAGAGTCAGTAGCGGTGCTGTGTGTGCCTGGGGTTGGTGTATTCACAAGCAGTGAATGAAAGGAGCGTTAGCAAAGGGAGCTTTCTTCCTAGCCCTGACTCCCAGTTGAGTCCCTCAGTCTTGATCCATCTCCACCCTCGCTAACGTGGAAATTCTTCCAGGATAAGAAAATACATTAACAACAGTTCACTCTGAAAAAGAATAGAGAGTCATTCACAACAGAAGCTTCTCTGTTTTGTATATATATATATATATATATATATATATATATATATATATATATATATTTTCTTGTTTCCCCTTTAATTAAAAAGAATTAAGAATGCTTCCTTAGAATTGCTTAGGAAACTAGCTAATCTCGCAACATGAGGTACTTCCATGAGCAGATCTGGGTGAGAAGCAGAACAGCATCCTACAGGTAGACGAATGACAGGAGCTCGGGTTAGGGAAAATAAAGACACAAGAACCGGACGACACATTTTCTTTTTTTACAAAATTCTGCCTAGGTTTAATAACAAACTCATACACTAACATTATCTTACTCATCTTGACCTAGATATAATAAGCTTGGCTTAAATGGACCTCTGCGGGGATTAATATGTATCCATCTGTTTATCTTTAATAACTTTGGGGTTATTTTTCTTACTTTGGAGGTGAAAACCAACTTCTCAGCTCACCATGCACTCAGTACTTGCCATACGCAAACAGTGACGGAAGTCCACATTTGTGCCTAAGTAGCCTGCTTTGCACGTTGGCTATGGTTCAGCCAACGTCATGCTAGAAACAGAAGGCTGTACAGTTGGGAGGGCCAGCCAATTACCGTGTGATTTAAAACCCACGTGATTTATTAGTTGCTATTAGCTAACCAGTTCCTCTTTATTTGATCTGTGTATATATTAGTTCTAAGTATTATGCAAGCATGGATTGTTCTACCGCAGAAATGACTTTTTCAACCTCTGCCTGCCTTTTAATATGAGAATACAATGGAATAATTTGAATTGTGATTACTCACAAACAAAACTGTACAACTGGAATTAAATTTCACACTGCTTTTCAACCTTGAAATGAACATTAATGTGAAACTAATACAAAAAGTACAAAAATATTTCCATATTCAGGTTAATGTTTAGTCAGGGAAAAGAATAGCTTTCCATTTATCTCTAAAACAGCTTTCTTCATCTAAACAAAGGTCTAGGATAAGAATAAGAAGAACCTGTGTGGATTTCTTAGAGCACACCCGTATTGCAATCTCCTTTATACATGCTCTCGATGCCACTGCGCACTGGAATATCTTCCGGGCACTTTCACCATCACACAAGGACGACGATGTCACTCACTAACATGGTACATAGCTGGTATATTTGACTTGGGCGTATGGTTATAAAATTACCTGTGGCTCACCAATAGTTTCAAACCATTCACTGTTTTCTATTAGTAACAGCAGCACAGGGCAGGTGAGACCAATGATTCCATTGCTTGTTTTCTCCGCACAGGCTTTCCTCACTGTATCTACTGAATTCTCTTCACTGTCCCTCCTCCCCTCGCCTTCAGTTTTAGGTCTTAGCCTGTATCTTTTCTTTAATCTAAATCATAAATGAAGAGTAAAACTGGAAACTACTCCTTGGGTCCATGTCACCCTGTAAGTACCTAGGAATAATCTTGAATGTGTGCCGCTACTCACCATGGAGACAGGCTAGTGCTTGCGTGCTTTTAGCCTTTGTGAGATCCGAACAGCAAGCCAGCAGTGAGGAAGTCAGATAGACTCCTTTGCCTTGCTTCTAGCACAGGCAGGGAGGAAGGCAGTTCAAGTAGTTAAGCTTTTGACTTTGAACCAGAAAAGCTGTGAACACTCACACATTCACACAGGAAGAGGAGGGCTGTTTGAGGACACAGACAGCTAAGCGTGGGCATGGTCCACACAGGGAAATGGTTAAGGCAAGGCTGACCAGAAAAGCCAGCCTCATAGAGCCAAGAACATATGCGAACGTATTTTGGAATATTGCCCAAGCCTTCCTTGATAGTTCTAACTTTCACGTTTAATGCTAAGTGGTTGTCATTACAACTTTCCACTGGACTCCTCAGAAAATGCCAGGGCTCACTTAAGAAGCAGAGCAAATTACAATGCATTTTCAGAATGAAGGCTGAGAGATGGTTAAAGAGGTCCTTTAATACACTTTGGTCGACTATTACTTCATTACGTCATACGAACATTTAGTAAGGACCTAGTATGTAAAAAGCAATTCACTAAAACTTTTAAGAGAATATAAAAGCATGAAATTAAAAAAAAATAGAATGCAGCCTAGTAAATTAGCTCTCTTATAACCACGGTTATGTATTTACAATGCGTGTATATGGACATTAACCAGTTTGAACTGTCTGAACACTTAGCATTATTAGGCTCACCTTAAATACGCATCCAGGCCCTAGCTGGAAACAGTAAGGGCAATGTATAATTTTCCTTTTCTTTCTCATTTTCCTTGATCAGTTTTCCTTCATCATTAAAGTTTGTGGATGAAAAATATGTCAAGTTAAGGTTTCATTAGAACTTTATAGACCATCTCTTGAAAAAAATGAGGAAGATTTTTGAATAACAGAGTTGCTTTTCAGAAAAATCTAAGGAAAGTAATACTATACCAAAGTGAACACAGTTTTTTTTTTCTTTCAGTCATCCTTAGCCATAGACATACAGTTTTTCTTTTTTTTTTTCTTTGTCTTTCTTTTTTTTTGAAGGGTCCATATGGAAATATCATCAACACATTCTGCCTCTGGGTTCTTTGCCAAAATACCATAGACCACAAGCCATCTACCTTAAACATAAAAGGAGAGGTGTTTTTCTGGTCAAATAAAAAAATAATTTTTACTACCCCTCGTCTAATGTTAAATCTGACTAAATCCTGCCAAATACATTAAAACAACATCTGTAAAACAGATTTTCATTAAATTGATCAGTTTAAAGTTAAGCAGCTCGGCAGATGATGCTTTCACACTAACCCTTGACCTTTAACTTTTAACCTCCTTAAGCGGAATAAAGCACATAGTTCTTTCAGGGGGTGCTTCTCCAGCTTGACAACACCGTGAGTAGAGTGTTTTGTTCAGACTGATCTGACACGTCGCCATGGCTAGAGTGCTATGAATCAATATGTTGTCAATAATGAGCCAAGCTGCTTCCTTGTAGCTCCGTATCTGCCTTACAACTGTAACTTGCCACATTCCTCTAATGTCTGAATAATTCACAATGTAAAATGGTGCAAATTAAACTCTTAATGGAAATAAATTTTATAGAGAAGATTATTGTCTAGTTATTAACTCTGCAACTATTTTGTGTCTAATTTTAATATTTAAGCCATATGATAAACCATGATTTTTTTCCAGGCCCAAGCCAATTTGTTAGGGTCTCATTTAAAAGCAATTAATGTTACTTATGAACCAATTTTATTTTGCTGAGACAAGCCGGCCAAGCTAATCTCTTCATCGCAGTGCTTGAAGTGTTCTATGTCTGAATCACATTGTTTTTGAATTGAGTTTGGAAATAGCATGCTCAATACATACTCAGGAGTGTTTTTTTTTTCTGACTATTTCTAGAACTACGCAAAAAAAATAGTTGAATTGTCAATAACAGGGTCGGTACTCAAATATGTTTGGTATTCTTTGAATTTAATGCAATGTTTAACATAATAACTTTGTCTGCTGACCATATTTAAGCACTATATTGGATATACTTGGGTAATTAAGGGATACACAACCAGAAAGGACACATTATATGTCTTACATAATCTTTAAAATAACTATGCAATTTATGCTTGTGGGATAGAATGTGTTCATAGTATTACAGTCTTCTTTAGAGTCAGGTATTTATCATAATTGGTCTATATCGATTTGAATTTAAGACCCAACTGTCCCTCCAAAGGAGCTTCAAGTTGAACCCTGGACTTTGTAAATGGCCTTGCAGGAATTAGGTGGCCAACTCATACTTATGGAGAGAATTGCATGAATTTACACACACACACACACACACACACACACACACACACACACACCACCTATCAACTTATGAAGAATTATCAGACAGTTTGATTAAATAACCCTTTTTAAGAATATAAACAATAACACTCTCCCTTTCACTCAGCTCCCATCTGAGAGTAATAAAATAGAAAAATCTAACATTTATATTTCCTATGCACAACATGTTAATTTAAAGTGTTAGAGGAACTGCGTGAATATAAACACAGTTCATGAATATTCTATATAGCTCCCAGGGTCTAAATCTATTATTTATACAAACTTAATGTTTGTTTTTTTCTCCTAGGTATTCTAAAACTTTTAATAGGTCAGGTATCAACAGGAAAAAAAAGAAGTAGGCAATTGAACAGTTGTCAACTGTTGCTGCAAAACTCATGAATTATAATACAATTAATCCTTTATATTATATTTTCAATAACATTGAGGTAGAAGCATTCCATCTT